ATTATTGTTGATACAAGATTGATAGAAATGATTATTGGAAGTATGAAAATAGGGTGCTTGTAAGTCCACTTGCCTTACGCATTTAAAATTTGATGTTTAAATGGGTTTAAATCATGCCTGGAAAAGAAGATTGTGAAAAAATAAGCCCCACTCAGGGCTTTGGAGTACTCAGGATATTTGCATTCCAAGAGACATGCCTAGGCGATTGTGGACAGACTGAAGAAAAAAGGAACTCTGGATTTTTGAAGTTTGAACTAGTGGTTTTTGTCAGAAGCTGGAAAAAAATCTGGAACCATGATGAAAACTCCTCTCTAAGATTGAACGTTAAAGGGTCCCCATGGGCAGACTGAAATGCTTGCTAGGTGACCACCTGAATCCACTTGTTGAGTGGAATAGAGAGAAATGCAGCAATAAAGAGATGGATTGAATCTGACCACTGACATCTGTGGACCTGATTTACAGGAACTAGAGGCGAAGATGAGAGTGGGTTGACGGGTTTGAAGTTCATGACCAGCAAAAGGGGGATAGGGTTTTGAGAATTTGTGATGAACCCATGTGAGCAGCCCACACAGAGTTGACCAGATGAAGAGAAGATATTTGAGCCTGTGAACTGATACATATTGCTGCAGACGTTATGGATAGCCTGATTTGACTTTGCTTATGGATGCAGATTTCACAAGGTTCCAAATGGAATGAAAATTCTTTACATCAAAAATTATCATTGTCTCCTCAGAGCACTGGGTTGTTGTAAATGTTGTAAATGGATACCCAAAGTGGGGCGGATAAAGGCATGAAGTAGATGGCTTACAAACTTTCATAGGTGGGGGTATATATTCATAGAATTATAGGTTTATGGTATAGGTGTTGCTTAACTTCAATTGATTGGCATAATATATTTTGGTTTTGTTCACTTATAAAATGTTCTGTTTAAATGAGGGTTGCACATATTCAATTGTATACATTTTGGTTTCATCCTATTAGGTACAGATAAGATTTTAGTATTGTTGGTTTGAAAATTGTATATGACTAAAGAGTTGTATGGAAGTGTCAAATTGGCAAGGGGTGGTTTGTGGTAGCTGTATAATCTGTTGTAAGTTTGAGAGTATGAAGACTGAAGGGGTGATGTTTAGCCTGTCAATCAGATCTTAGCTTGTTGGCCTCATTTGGGGGCGCTAAGGAGACAAATAGCTCAATGGAGGCAAGACACAGGCTCACTCCCTTGGAGACTCTCAACTGACAAGGCTGAGTCCCTGCAAGACATTCTTGTTGACAAGCCACATGGAGACAGGCTGATGGCAGCCAGAGCCTCGGAGCTAGAGAAACCACGTGGAGACCTCTGTCAGCGCTGAGATGCTTACAGTGCCACTGGATCCACAAGACTTTCCTGTGATCATCCAGCACTCAGCATCATTGCATGTGTTTTGTGAGTCTGAAGAGGAATTTATAAATTGTTATCAGACATCTGGGCTAATACCAAACTTATGGACTTTATCTGGACTGGGCTGGGATGTTTTCTCAATATTCAATTTCTCTTATATATAAAGCTCTTGCTTATATACATATGAGTGTCTATGAATTTGTTTCTCTTATCTACCTAGACTAACACAATCATTTTGTTCAGAGATGCTTATTTTTTAAGATTTCCAAACTTTGCTAAAAGTGTACTTTTTCTCTTCTGAGGACGCTGTGTAGAGGCATTCTGACCTACTAATGTAGGCTGTCATACAATACAGCCTCTAATGAAACTGGGCTGTCTCAACCCCCTAAAAATAGAATAGTTTACCTCTATACAAAGAAGGTTGGTAATGCACTAAATCTGCATGTGGTATGTGTCCAGGCCCACTTCCAGGAGGTTCGTGTGGTGAGACCTAAAGTTCTTGTGAGGTTGTCCAAAGCAAAAACCATGTCAGCAGGCCTTGTGGTGGTTCCATGTGTGCTAAATGTGTCCAGGACAGGGTCAAGCATGCTTTCCTTATTGAGGAGCAGAAAATCATTGTGAAAGTGTGTAAGGCACAAGCAACAAGTCAGAAAGCTAAATAAATACAAATTAAGCTCTTTTGAATAACAAACAAATCAAATGAATTGTAACAAAAAAGTGTACTTGTGACTCCTCGTGATTTGAGACATCCTAATAATAAATTCACTACCCTTTCAGATTTTCAATATTCAGTTGAAGTTTCATCAATTGAGTTAGATTTCAGTACTAATGCTCTGCTTCTTCTATTTGGCAACCCGCCCTTTTGAATTTGCCATCCATCAAGCATGCTGAACAGGGCTTGAAATCTTCCTTAGCCAGTCATCATTCCACCCATATTCAGTTATTTCTTCAATGAACAGTAACAGAGAATGGTCATTTAATTCTGCTCTTACAGGGAGGGGCGGAGGTGGCTGGTTTATGATTAAACTATAATATGCCACACTTTATAAAGCATTTACAAAAACAAGAACAGACAAGCTACATACATGGTTCCATTGTGACTACTTGTCCAGCCCCACTACCGTTTAGATACGATTCCCTCCCAAGGATTGCCGAGCCTGTTACTTATGCCCATTCATAATTTCGAGTCAGATCTTGATGTTTTATCTTCCTTAATCTTCTTTTGATGCCATATAGAGCCTGCTTCAGAGATCACACATGACCAATGTCCAGATCTTACAACAGTATGGATTCACAGGATGCATAGTCTCATACCCTTTCCTGAACTTTAGAAGCATTAGAAGACTGTGTTCCTCCTTCCCACCTTTTTACTAGATTGTCTTTCTCTTGTTTTGCTTTATAGTTTTTAGAGTCTCTAAGTTCTCAGATAATTTTTTGTGTAATGACTACTCTACCACGTAATACTCCCTGTCCACACATATCTGCATTCTTGATTTTTTTCCCCACATTCATTTTGATTTAATTATTCTCAGCACAGTAAAAACAAGTGGAATCCCTTTATCTGCAGTGCAAAGACCTAACTACCTACCTGAAACCTGCCACACCCAGAAGATCCTCCATCAGTACACAGGGAAAACCCTCTAGAGACAATAGCTAGGTCCCAAGGGTCCTCAGTTTGTAGGCTGGGCTGAAACCTTTAGGGAAAGACAAGGTCAGAGGAAGCCATCTGGGCAACAGGCTTCCTACATGATTTCCAAGTTACCACACACAGGTCTGTGGAGCACAGTTTTACCCTAACACTCCTGGAAACAGCCTGAACCAGGATCAACTTGACTCTGATTTCGCAGGGTCTGCAGGCCATACCACAGGTCTGCTGTGTCTGCAGACCTCTTAAACATCTAGACCTGAATGGACATACTTGTCCAAGGCAAAACTGGCACCCAGCACTCCCTCAGTGTTGCCTGCACCACCCTTGGAGAGAAGTCATGGTACTGCCTACACTCCCTTCTCTTGGCATCCCTATAACATGCAGCCTGCTTTAATGACCTGGGCTCTCTTACTTGGTATTAAACAGTCCCTCTCTTGGGGTATAACAATAATGCCAGTTGGCTTTCTCCCAAGCTGAGTGAACTATACATACCTTATTTGCAACCTATCCAAGAAGCATAAAATGGAAAGGAAAATGAAGATGCGTTGCTAGTAAGGGTGGCATCAAAAATGACCCAGTGTCACAGTCCCTAAGTCCTGAGCTGCTAATTCAGTGGTTGGTGGTTTGAGCCCATCAGCCACTCTGTGTGAGAAAGTTGCAGTAACCCCCGTCTGTAACTATTTGTAGCTTTGGAGATGCTCTGGATCAGTTCTACTCTGTGTTATAAGGCCACTATAAGTCAGGATAGATTAGAAGGCAGGGGTTAGGGGGTTGTTTTATTTTGTCAAGGTGGGCATCAAGTGCTTAATGACTAGCCAAATGTCAGAAGCTAGTTGGAAGGCAGGCTTGGTGATCTGCTTCCAAAGGTCACAACCCTGACAACCCTGTGGGGTCACTGTGACTTGGAGATGGGTCAACTGGATAGTAAGTAACAGCAAAGGGCAAGACATGTCTTGAGGGTGGGCATTTGAGTCAGTGGCAAAGAGGGACTTCACATGCTCGGACTCTCCCTCCATCTCTGAACTCTACCACTGAGCAAAGTCATAGCTGATCTCTGAGTCCCAGCGACAGCAGTGCTGTCCTGAAATTGCCTTAGGAGTTGATGATGCTGTTGCACCTCCCCTAAGAAAATGAGCTCAAAGAATCAACCAGTGTTTCTTAGGACTCCTTTAACTAGTGTTAAAGGCAGACTCCCTAAATGTAAGTAAAAATTGGACTGAGCAGTGTCAGTTACAGTCACAAAGGGATTCCTCTTTCAGTAATTTATAGTAATTTTGAAAGTGCTAGTAAAAGAAAAAAAAGACCTGTTTATTACATTAGTAGGGAGAGCCACTAGAAATAATTTCCATATCATTTCCTAGCATCTTAATAAAAGGTATAATTTATTCTGAAATATATGTTCTGAGCAAAATGATTAATATTCTTCTTATTGTTAGAACATCTAGAACAAAATCTATTTGGTTTCCTGCAATGCTAACAACATGGGGCGGTAAGTAATTTTTTCCCAGAAAATGACAAGAAAAGAAAACCTTTCCCTTCTTTAATTGATAGCCAAAACTAAGGTCGCTGAAATTTCTATCTTAAAATTCCATTAAGCATTTTAATGAAGATCATTGCCATGAGATTCATGTAAAATTATCTTTGGAAAATATCTCTTCTTTGTTCCCATTTTTGTAAAGGGGTAAGGTATGAAGGCAAGAATTTGTTAGTTGCATGTGTCAAAAAAAATAATAGCATGCTAACAAGATGTGGAATAGTGAATAGCTCATTGTCAAAATACTGATAGAAAATTGCTCTTCTGTGCTTTCATTAATGAGTATAATGGTGTCTGCATATGGGCATTTAATGATGCTATTTGATGATAAGAAAATAACTTCAAAGAAGAAATGATGACAGTTCTGTGCTTGTTTGGGAGTGACTTCCAACTTTTTGAGAGATTTAGTTTTGGTTCTTTGTACCTTGTTTGTCTTGAAGATCAAAGTATCTGTCTCTTCGGGAGGTGACTGCATTCGAACATACAAGCCAGAAATCAAGAAAGGAAGCTACAATAATATCATTGTGAATGTCAAAACAATGGTTGCCGACAATCTTCTTTTTTATCTTGGAAGTGCAAAATTTGTAAGTCTAATCTTCAGCTTTTCTTGGCCTACTATACATGTCAGAGGTTCATCTTGAAGTAGGGAAAGTGTATAGACTCCAATAACCCAGCCCCCAAACCATCTAATGTGGCCTTCTAGTAATGGAAACTTTAGTGCCTACCTTACAGTGTTCTTAAATATTGAATAAGACACTTTCCTACAATATTTAAGTGCAAGAAATTAAAACACTTTACAACCTATTTTCATGTTAAAGCAAATAAAGTAGCTAACCCTATACTCATCTCTTACCTACAAAAGCATCATTTCATATTGCCTATATGACTTAAATGGACATAATAGAAGCGGGGTCAATAAAAGTCCACACGAAAATGCTGATACCTTCCTTTGGCACCATGTGACCTTCCTTGCATGGAAAGGTTCCAAAACATAATAGATTCAATAGATTGAGCCTGACATCAGTCAATACTTGCCATCCCACTGAGGAGTTCTGGCTCACCTTGGGTTAAAAAGCATAACTTCAATCTCAAAAATATCAGTGCCCTTGGTGAAAATAATAATGAATTTCTGATTCAACTATTTATTTGTACTATGATTATCAGAAAGGGACAAGCCTTTTTTCTCAACGTCAGACCTAACTAGATTTGATAAGATTAATATATATGCCTGTGGTATGGACATCGTGTTTCATTAATAAAATACTGATTTAAACTTACATAATGATGGAACACTTCATTTGGGGAGTCTTATTGTACAGTTATCAGTTTTTTAGCATGACTGTAAATGGCATCCATCAGACAGAACTCTGCTGACCTCCTCTTTGGAGTGGTTTACAAGTGACAACTACTGTGTTTGTGTTTCTCTGCACTAGATTGACTTCCTGGCTATAGAAATGCGCAAAGGAAAAGTCAGCTTCCTCTGGGATGTTGGATCTGGAGTTGGACGTGTAGAATATCCAGATTTGACTATTGATGACTCATATTGGTACCGTATTGAAGCATCAAGGTAACTAATTAAGTAACAATTAATATAATTAAATACAACAGAATGTTGAAATCATTTTCCAGTTGATAAGGAAACTTATTTTCATTTCACAAATAAAGCTGTATATATGTGTATGCACATATATGTGAAACAATGTACAAACACATGTGAGGGGAGAGGAGTATCTTTGAAGTGCCTTATAGGAACTGAAAAACCTTCAAGGTATTGGCCAGTGCAAGTTGAAAGATATGGTTAGAGTTGATGAAGCTGATCAGAGTTGGGAGAAGAAGACTTGAAATGGTAACTGTTGAGTCTAGGTGATGGATGCAAAATTTCTACTCTATTATTGCATATGCCTAATTGTTCTCGTTAAAATGCCTTTATTTTAAAAGATATACTGAATGAGAAGTGAAGGAGCCCTAGTGGCTCAATGATTGAGTGCTCAGCTGCTGACCCATTGCTTAGAGGACTTAACCCTCCTATTGGTGCTGACAGAGAAAGACTATGGAAATCACGTCCCATAGAGCTTCCAAACCAAACCAAACTCACCACCATCGAGTAATTAGGACTCACAGCGACCCAGCAGAACAGGGTCGAACTGCCCCTTGTAACTTCCGGAGTAGGAAGTCTCATCTTTCCCCAGTGAAGCAACTAGGAGTTTGAAAGTGCTCCACCTGAGGTTAGCAGCCCACCCGAACCACTGCACCGCCAGGCTTCTAGAAAATCCTACAAGTCCATTCTACTCTGTCACATGGGTCACCTTGAGTTTAAAATCAACTCAATAACAGGAGAAGCAATATTTCTAAAAGTGGGTGGGGTAGAGGAAGAGAGAGGGAAGGAGGAAGAGAGAGAAAGAAGAGAGAGAATGTACTTGGGAGTGGTGGCATTGTGGGGGGTGATTAAGTGTTTTCTTAATTAAGGAGATTTATGCTAACAGTGTAGTTGTGTCCAAATAAAACATTCTGATATGATTTGAATAAATTAATTTAATTCTTTTCATGTATTTCATTTAGTACTGCACCCACAAAGAAAAAAGAATTACCAAAACGAGCTAGCAGGAAGAGAAAGACGACACTGAGGTGTTGTTATGACTGCTTGCCTTAGCACAGGGAGCAGATTTTCATCTGTAACCATCCATGGAAATCAATCACTTTTAAAAAGGAAATGAGATACAATGACAGTAGCTTTCAAAATTCTATTAATTGAATTTAAAAAGTGAATTTCTTCCATACACTGTGTACACACCACTCTGAAGACTAAATGTTACTTTATGTATATTAAGATGATGTGCCAGACATTAAAGATAGTACCATTCCAGGAAGACAATATCAGCAAGTTTAGGTCCAAGATATAATTAGAGATTTTAGGAAAAATTATGCAGCAGATAATGCAGAAGGGTGGCTCTTGTAGAGTTTGCTTGCTAAATTAAATTGAACAGCATGCTAAAAGAAATACGGTCAACTTGTTTAAATCACATGTGTTGGTAAATACTAAACATTAGGTAAAGCAGTAGGAAAAAGGCTTTCCATCCAACCAATAGCCACCCCATCAGCTAATGGCTGCTGATGTCATCTTACATCACTGGGTGCCCATGGGATCAGAGCATGTTGCTCTCTGACTTTAGATGAGTCTGGCCATATATCTCCTGTAGAGGTCAGATTTTGGATTTTGATTTGAGATTTAATGAATCTGGAATGTTCTAAGGTAAAAACTATTTCTAAAATATTCATTGTATACCCCTTAAACTCATAGTGATGCTTATCTCCTTTCTATATATTCTTCCCCTTCACTCCAACCCCTAACTCTGGAAGAACTGGGAGAAATGGAACAATTTCTGTGAGAGCCCTGGATGGACCCAAAGCCAGTATGGTGCCCAGTGTACACAGCTCCGTGTCTCCCCCAGGATACACTATTCTAGATGTGGATGCCAACGCCATGCTGTTTGTCGGCGGCTTGACCGGGAAATTAAAGGTAATGTCTTCTTCCCTATCCTGCTTATTTCCTTTTTATTTAGACAGCTCTTTCCATAGATTATTTCCTCAGAAGGCACAATGTAGCTCTGAAAATCCTGGACTGCTTTCTAATTCAAATCTGTTACTCAACACATGAGTTTATTTTGAACCTGGACTACTTTCTAATTCAAATCTATTATTCAACACATGACTTTATTTCGAGTAAGAATGCTTCCTTCCTCGAATTTCAATCTCAAAACATTATTTTTTAAGCCTAAGTCTATTTACCTTAACCCAATACTGTTTGGCCCTTATCTGTGACACAGTTTTTATATTCTCATTTAAGTCACTGCTAGGAAAACGTGTTTTGTTTTGTTTTTAAATATACTTCATTCTCTCCATAGATTTATGATTTATAGATATTAAGTGTTATAAAGTTCATACTCACATCTAATTAAAAGATTTATGAACACCCGGGGAAATATCATATGAGTCATAAGCGTTCAAATCATGATCTGGTTTTAAAAGTTTTCAACTTGTGATTCTCCTCATTCTTATAGGGTAACTCACTTAATATTCATAATTGCTTCATGACAGGTCCTTGTGAATTTCAAATTACAAAATGCCTACATTTTCAACGAGCCCATGTTGATGAAATAGAATTAGATGTTGGAAAATGACCTGGGGGTGAGCTGTAAGAGCATAACCAAATATAAGGCATAATTCTGGGCTTGTCAGCATCATCTTAGGATGAGATTAGTCAGGACATGTGAAAACACCAGGTGACCCCAAATTTATATGAGAACTCAACCTTATTTTAGAGCAAGGTTATTTTATTTGCTTTATGTATGAGATGTGACTCTAAAGTACTAGAAATGATTCCAAAACTACACACTAAAAAGCATCCTCATTCCTTAGAATCACATATAAATATATATGGTACCTAGTAAATATATAGCCATACCCCATCGCCCAACAAAGATAAATATAGAGGCTGCACAGCATTGTACTAAAGCCATGAATTTTGAAATCAAATCTGAATTGGTTTTCCTATTCTAGCAATGACTAAAATTTGCCCAGAAACAAGGCACTTAACCTCTTGACCTTCAGTTTCCTCACCTAGAAAAGGGAGAGAGAAATTGTCTACTATTGTAGGACACAATAATAAAATTTCATAAACTCACACTACCCTGATCATGTGCCAAGTACTATTTTTATGTGTTTCAGAAAAAATAATTTACTTAATCTCACAATGTTTGGAAAGGTAGCCTATACTTTATAGTTGAGGAAACTGAGGGACAGAAAATGTTAGTCACTTGCCCAAAGTCACACAGCTAATTAATGGTGGGGCTGGAATTCGAACACAGGAAAGCTAGCACAAGAGTCTAGATTTGTGACCAGGAACCATCACACTTTACTTCTACGATGCACACAGAAATTGTGTGTATAAAGTATGTGACAAATACATAAGATACAGCAATCGCCACATTTTATACCACCAGAAATGTTGTTACTCACATGTCCCTTGCACAAAGCAACTTTTGTGTCAGACTCAGAAAAGCAGAAGGAGACATAATCAAATGAAATCACAGAAAATCTTGAAAACACGTTTGGGCCAGGTGTCCCAAGGCTCCTGCCACACCAGAACATGAACCCAAACTGAAAACAAGTAGCTAAATGAACTGGTTGATAGTAATTCAACTAAGTGAGGGTGTTGCCCAAGTGGAGTCTTTCAAGTGGAAAAATAGCAGGAATCAAGTAGAATCGCGACGGATTAGCATTACAGAGAGCACTCCGACTTGGAAATGGTAGTGACTGCAATCAACATTTTCTCCACAAAGCAAAATTATCACTGGAAACATTCAATCATCCAGTGACCATCTTCTTGCATTGTTTTCTCAAGCATAGTGATTCCCTTTTTCCACAAGACTATTTGGAAACGTGGATTACCTTTGCCACTGTTTCTAAATGAAAGAGGGGACATTGAAATGCTCAAGGGAAAATTCCATTATCTTTCAAACCTATTTTTTCCACAAACTTTTGTAGCCCCCTCCTAGAAGGGACCAGAATGCAATATGTGTCATACCTAAGCGTAAACATAAAAAACTACTAAAATTACATCAAGATGTGACACGAGTCCATTCACTCCTTCATGATGGTGGCATGTATTTTGTTTCTGATCCTCCCTTGTAAGAAGGATGCTACTAGGGTTGTCATTCACTGAATACGTATTGGTCTGCTATTAGAAAGATGTGGCCGGCTGCCTCCATAAGGGAGACAGTTGTCCCATTGTGTCGCTAGGAGTCACGATTAACTCAACTGCAGAAAGCTTTTTGGTGGTTAAATGTCAGGCTCTGTTCTGTTTTTAGCAGCAATGAACACCAACAAGGTCTTTTCCAAAAGTAGTCATTTTTCCTTTCATGCCTATCAACTGTAAAATGTCTTAGGTACGTTAGGGAAAAAAATTTTAATTGGGGACAATGCTAGGATAAGAAAAAAAAATTATGTGTGTGTGTAATTATATATATATATATATATATATATATAATCTATGTATCCCTTTTCATAAGCCTTGGAGAGAAATTTTCTTAGTATATTTAGGGGCCCAGGTTTGCCTAAAGAGAAAAGGCACAATAAAACCAAAACCCATCCCTATTCCATGGAGTCAAATCCTTTCCACAGCAGAACTGCTCCTTAAGGTTTCTGAGACTTTTCATCTTTACAGAAGCAAACAACCTCCTCTTGCTCCAACAGTCCAGCTAATGGGTTTGAACCACCGACTTTGAGGCTAGGTGCCCATCACCTACTTCAATAACACATCTGGGCTCCTTAAAAGAACAATGGTATTTATTGAATACCTTCTCAGTACCAGATACTGAATTTACTACCATAAATAATCTAATTTGCCTTCTACAGTAATCTGAGTCATAAACTCGGGAAGAATTTATTCCTAAACTAATAGACTGGTATAGCCTAGATTTCCCTGGTGTGGTTGACTGATCTTTTCCTCTCCGCTGGGCATTTTTCAGCAGCTGTGGGGATCTGACATGGCTTAAAGCTGAATATCTTCAAGTTAATCCAAAGAAATGATTAGTCACTACTCTAGATTCTATTGCTGATAGCTCTCATACATATTTTAGATTATTTTTGAAACTCCAAATTCTAACAAACATCACGTTTCTCTCTGCAGAAAGCCGACGCTGTACGTGTGATCACATTCAACGGCTGCATGGGAGAGGCATACTTTGACAACAAACCTATAGGGCTGTGGAATTTCCGAGAAAAAGAAGGCGACTGCAAAGGATGCACAGTCAGGTTGGTTGAGCTGAGAGCTCTCCCGGGGGCTTTCCTGGACAACACAAAAGCTTGAATTACATTGTGTAATATTCTGTCATCGGGTAGATGATATGGAGCTGGTTTGCTGGGACCATATGCAAGTGTACAGTTACCATGATGCTAATGAAACGTCCAAGGGCCCCCTTAGTTTGACATGATCTAGCCAAAGCCTGCAGAGACTTTGTAAAGTTTGTAGATTTTTTACCTTTCCTCATTCCTTTCCCACTCTACCGTCCCTATAGGTGCAGGATTTTTGTAACGCATTTGTGGGTATCTTGTGGATAGCATCTTTCTTTAATTTTCTCTTAATAAGGAGTCCTCTCCACAAAGATTGAGCTGATTAGGATTGTTATTTTATTTGTGATTCCTCTGATTACAAAATTGCATAGATTTTGAGTGATCTACCTGCCTAATTTCCCATCACCACTGGTATTTGTAGCGATGATATTTTGCAGAGCTCCTCATTTTTTTTTGCATTCCTGATGGCTTGCCTCAGAGGAATATATATATGTATGTATGTACATACATATATATACAATGTTGTATATATCACATATATATCGTGTTATATATATCACATTTTAACATAAAGGTCATTCATTCCCATTAAAGAGCCAACAAAATTTCATAGAAACCCTTAGAATGTCAGCTTCAGAAATTTATATTTGTTCCTCAATCAGTAGAGGAGCTGTGGGCAAACTCTAGCACAGTGAATCTGTCAGTGGGATAAAAAAAAAACTATATCTTACACCTTATATTCTGAGAGCCCCTTAAGACTGAAATAAGCTTAGGGGCGGGGGATGCTGCAAGTAAAATGCATTCAGCTCAGTGTTGAAATAATAATGATTTTTAAAATATCTTAAACTTCATTGTACATCTAGTTTTATAGTTATGTGTAGAAGAGTGTAGCTATTCCAAATAATTAATTCTTACCTAACCAGATCTCAGGGATCAAAAGAGAAGAAAGGGGACATGTTAAGAAACAGCATTTATGAATACCATAGTAGTTGCTTTTACAGCGAAATGTGTTCAAAATAAATGTGAAAATTCTAATATGACAGTAGATGCTGAAACATATTGCATCTGAAAGGAGTCTTTCAATTGGTCCACTCCCAGAGTCCCCAATTCAGATTAAGATTTGCCTGGTAATTGAATTAAGTGAAGTCGACGGAGCTGAAAGTTTATGGTTTGCTGTTTCCAGCAAAAACCTCTTTGCCACAGATTGGACATTTGCTTAAATCAGAGAAGCTCCTAATGTGTTGGATTTGGAATGGTCCTTAGCAATCACTCTGTTGGTTAATGCATACCTCACCGTTGAGTCTTGGAGGACAGACATGTGAAGGGCTGGTAGGCAGTGAGGCAGGTCTCAGTGGCATTCCATCAGAACCAGGCTTTCTGCCATCTAATCCACTATTGTACGGCTCTTCTATGTTGAGACAATTAATAGATTCAAGGCATAAAAACACCAGGGTATAAATGTTCCAGAGATTTATTCAATAAAACTGGGTTTTTTTTAAACCCCCTTGTGACATAATATAGTGACATTTGTGTTTTGGTTGTGCTCCACATTAGTAAGTGGCATGTTTGAGACCCAAGATTCTGGGGAACTGTCGGTTTGATTCCCACAACCCTTTCTTGGTTCTCAGTGGTAGCCAAGACTCTTCCCTACTATTTTTTTCAACACCTTGATTTATCAGTAGAGAATTTTATCGAAAAATGCATGCTCTTTCCTCCAGAAGCCCATTAAAAACTGTGCACTAATCTTTCCTCAAGAGCCAATATTTCATGAAAACAAAAGTCTAGTCTTCTATATGAAACTACAGGATCCCTTTGGTGCCGTGGGCTAAGTAAGAGTTGGACTACTAACCTGAGATCAGTAGTTCAGAACCACCAGCCCCTCCTGAGTAGAAAAGAAGAGGCTTTATACTCTCATAAAGATTGTCAGTCTTGAAAAACCCACAGGGGCATGTCTGTTCCATCCTATGTGGTCACTGTGAGTCAAAATCAAATCAAGGACAGTGAGTTTGCTTTGAAATTCAGAGCCCTAATGGCACTCTGATGGTGTAATAGGTTACGTATTGGGCTGCTAACTGAAAGGACAGCAGTACAAACCTATCAGCTCCCATCAAAATGTACAGCTTTGGAAATCCAAAGGGCAGTTCTACTCAGTCCTGTAAGATCACTGTGAGTCAGAATTAACTTGATTGCAATTCGTTTTTAATGGTGCCTTAATGGATTAGGCACTGGGCTACTAAGCAAAGGTCATTGGTTCAATCGCACCAGACTCTCCAGGGGAGAAAAATAAAGGTGTTTGCACCTGTAAATCGCCATTGGCCTAGATATTAAACATATGGTGAAGTTTTCATGGGTATATTTCTACACAGAATTTATTAAGACTATACAGAACCTGAAGCAACTGATATATTCCTTCTAGAGAGCTAGAAGCATTTACTTTAAAATACAATGAATTAATGTGTTTAAGATGCTGATGTGACTATCTAAATTGAACCCAGCATGTCAATACCACCCCACTCTAGCAAATAACAGGCTGAATCTTAAGGGAAAGAATAAAAGAAATCGTGAGATACAAAAAAATTACATTTAAATCCTTCAAGCAGAAACTGAGTGAGTAACAGGAGTACTCCTGAAAAATATTCCAACTTCCTCCACCTCAAGCTCATTGCCATCCCGTCCATGCTGACCCTATAGGACAGGGCAAAACTGTCCCTGGGGGTTTCCAAGACTGTAACTGCTTAGGGAGAAGAAAGCTTCACTGTTCTCCCTCAGAGCTGTGGGTGGTTTCAAACAGGTGACATTGTGAACACAGCCAAATGTATAACCAATACATCACCAAAACTCCTTTCTTCCATCTAGATTCACATAAACTATGTGTTTGTGATGCCATTTATATGTTTATCATATCATGTTTCAGGAAATGAAATTAAGCTTAAAGATTATATTTTAAAAGTATAGAAAATAGGCAGAGATACTTAAATAAAATTAGGCAATTTGCTGAGTCTTAGAGAGAAAACACCATGGCTTCCTTGGTAATAAAACATCAAGAAAGAACACTGTTCAGGATGTCCCCATTTGAAAAATTATATCTGAACTGAAATATAAAAGTTAAAAGTAGCCTGGAGATATTTATACTTCTTCTTTTTCTTCTTCTTTCATGTCTATTTACATAAGATAGACAAGATAAACAATCCTAAAAAGAAAACAATGGAACCAGTGATTCCATTGGGGACATGGGAAAGGTGGAGGGGAGGAGAGGGAGGGGAACCAACAAACCCAGGACAAGGGAACAACAAGAGATCTAGAATCTATGGTGAGGAGGGGGTAGAATGCCTGGTGGGGGTTGAAGAATTACTGAGAGCCGAATGAAGGTCGAACATGATAGTGGGACAGGAGGAAAGTAAAAGGAAATAGAGGAAAGAACTAGGAGGAAAAGACAATTATAGAAATAGCAATAGAGCTATGAACATATGTGCATATATTAATTTATAATTATAGGGATATGGGTCTATATACATATATCTATATGTTAAGTATTAAGGAAGCAGATGGACATTGTGCCTCTACTCAAGTCCTCCCTCAACGCAAGAGCACTTTGTTCTAATAACCTGGCATTCATGGACCCAATCCCAACTACATGGACACCTTCCCCTCCCCCCAGAAGAATGTATTGCAGAGGACAGCACTGACTCTGCAGCTCAGGGAGAGGGACATGTCTGATCAGAGCACATGGGAACAAATGAAGGAGGAGGAAAAGAGAGTGGAGGACATCCTGGCCCACCAATCCTTGAGGATGATTTTCCCACTCAAAGCGGCCAATCCACAGAAAAGACCATATGGCCTGCCCCACTATGAGACATGACATCCCTCACTGACCCAAAGCCCTACAGGGGACAACACTGGAGGCACAGTGTGGGAATTGCGCCTGATCTGATCCCACCACAACGAGGCAAAGCACTAAGGGCGTGCAACGGAGCAACAAGGGGAACAGAGCAATGAAGTCCCCTGGGAATACCAGAAATAGACTTTGGGGCCAGAGCTTGGCATGGCACCCCATCAGACTCGACCGGAAAACACTCTTAAAGGTCAACAAACAGTCCTTGAACTAACTACAAGATTTTCTTTCTTGTGTTGTATTTTGTTTTTTTGTCATTGGCTTGTTGGTGTTGTTTTGTTTTATTTTGTTGATTGGTTGTGCTCTGTCTTGTTTTTGTGCATGTTATTATCTCTGCAGGACTGTCTAAATAAGATAGGCTAGATGAACAATCTAGAGGAGAAAACAACAGAACCTACAGTTCTGAGGGGACATGGGAGAGGGGAAAGTGGGGGGAAAGGAAGTGGTGTTAACAAAACCAGGGACAAGGGAACAACAAGTGATCCAAACTGGTGGTGAGGAGGGTCTAGGAGACTTGGTAGGGTGTGACCAAGGGTAATGTAACTGAGAGGAATTACTGAAACCCAGATGAAGCCTGAACATCATAGTGGGACAAGAGAAAAGTAAAAGGAAATAGAGGAAAGAGCTAGGAGGCAACGGGCATATATAGAAGTCTAAATAAAGGCATGTACATATATAAATATATTTATATAAGAGGATGTGGAAATAGATTTATGTGCATATATGTATAGGTGTAGTATTAAGGTAGCAGATGGACATTAGGCCTCCATCCAAGTACTCCCTCAATGCAAGAATATTTTGTTCTATTAAACTGGCATTCCATGATGCTCACTTTCCGGACACAATCACTGAAGACAAAGCGGGTGCATAAGTAATGGGGTGAAGAAAGCTGATGGTACCTGACCATTAAAAGATATAGTGTACAGGGTCTTAAAGACTTGAAGGTAAACAAGCAGCCATCTAGCAGGAAAGCAACAAAGCCCATATGGAAGAAGCGCACCAGCCTGTGTGATCATGAAGTGCTGACAGGATTAGGTATCAGGTGTCAGAAGACCCAAAACAACCATACCAATACAAACTAGTGGGGTCAGAGTAGAGACCCAAAGCCCATCTGTAGACAATCAGACATTGCCTCACCGAAGGGTCACAAGGAAGCTATGAGCCAGCCAGGGTGCGGTATAGCACTGATGAATCACACTACATTCCTCTAGTGCTTTAATGCCCCCCACCCCCAACTATCATGACCCTAATTCTACCTTACAAACCCAGATAGACTGGAGCATGTACACTGGTACAGATAAGAGCTCTAGACACACGGAATCCATGATAGATAAACCCCTCAGGAACAGTAGTGGAAGTAGTGATACCATGAGGGTAGGGGAAGGTCAGGGAAAAAGGGGGAGAAAGGGGAAATCTATCACAGTGATCATCATATAACCCACTCCACCCCAGGGTGGAAATGAACAAAAGAAATGTGGTTGAAGGGAGACAGCGGGCAGTGTAAGATATGAAAACAATAATGATTTATAATGTATTAAGGGTTCATGAGGGGAGAAAGAAGGAAAATAAGGAGAGCTTATACCAAGGGCCCAAGCAGAAAGAAAATGGTCTTTTTTAATTATTTTATTGGGGGCTTGTACAATTCTTATCACAATCCATACATATATCCATTGTGTCAAGCACATGTGTACATTTGTTGCCCTCATCATTCTCAAAACATTTGCCTTCCACTTTAGCCCTTAATATCAGTTGCTCATTTCCCCCCTTCCTCCCCACTCCCCCTCCCTCATGAACCCTTCATACTTCATACATTATTATTGTTTTGACATAAGTTACACTGTCCAACATCTCCCCCCGCCCTCTTCTCTGCCGTCCATCCCCCAGGGAGGAGACAATACGTAGATTCTTGTAATCGGGTCCTCCTTTCTACCCCACATTCCCTTCACCCTCCAGGCATCGCCCCTCTCACCACTGGTCCTGAAGGAGTCATCTGTCCTGGATTCCCTGTGTTTCCAGTTGCCATCTGTACCAATGTACATCCTCTGGTTTAGCCAGATTTGTAAGGTAGAATTGGAATCATGATAGGCGGGGGGGGGGTGGTGGCATTCATGGAGGAAGCACACCAGCCTGTGTGACCACGAGCTGTCGAAGGGATCAGGTATCAAGCATCAAAGAACAAAAAATCCTATCATTGTAAAGGTGAGTGAGTGCAGAGTGGAGCCTCAAAACCCATCAGTAGGCAACTGGACACCCCTTACTGAAGGGGTATGGGGAGGAGACGAGCCAATTAGGGTGCAGAGTAGCAATGAAGAAAATATTTTGGAAAGGATAATGGCAACATATGTACAAATGTGCCTGATACAATTGATGTATGGGTTGTTATAAGAGCTGTAAGAGCCCCCGATAAAATCATTAGTTTTTTTTTAAATACGAGAGTAAAGAAACAAGATGATTGAATATCCCAAGGCTGCAAAGATTCCATCATTCCTCCTATGAATCAAGTTTAGATTTCACTGGGCCATGAACAGGAGGGAGCAGATGATTTTAAACGTCCGGGTGAAAGATGGTGTCATCTAGGATGACGGCCTAATGTGGTCAGAGATCGATTGTGGGTGGCCCCCGCCTTAGAGCAGCAGACAGTTTGGAGGGAAATCTTATATAACGACTGAGTTCTCATGCACAATGCCTCTCTCTTTAGTCCCCAGGTGGAAGATCGTGAGGGGACGATTCAGTTCGATGGAGAAGGTTATGCGTTGGTTAGCCGCCCTCTTCGCTGGTTCCCCAACATCTCCACAGTCATGTTCAAGTTCCGGACCTTCTCTTCCAGTGCTCTCCTCATGTACCTTGCCACCCGAGACCTGGTAAGCAGCTCCTCTTCCCTGACGGACACTGGGCTCACTGTTCCCCTTACGATGCCAGTAAAAACCTCAGTCATTGTGAACATGACCCGTTAGTCTTCAAAGGATTGGCAGTGGGATAGGTAAGCATGGCTGTCGAGGTAAATTATATATTTACATTGATAATTTTACTCAGACGGTTTAATTATTTTCTATTTTCAATAGAATTCCCATATAATTCTTTAAGAGAAGCACCCAGTGAAGTCTGTAGTAAAGCACCTACTATGGACTCACGAGGGAGAAGACCTATTCCCTTTGTCTTCTTCCAGAGACCTAAATTAAGAATTCTGCATATTCTTTTGCCTTGTCTCTTTCTAGATCAATATTTATTAGTAAATTCTTTCGGGAAACATACTTTTTGTTTTGCTTAATATGTTTTCTGAAAAACCCACTTTATGCTAACACTAGTAAAAAATATATCCTAGCAATATGATTGTGACCATTTGCACCATAGCATCCCATTGAAGAAAACACACAATAATAGCCACACCAATTCTATTTCCAAAATGGATTTCTATTGCAGGGCAACACATTCAGTAATTTAGCCATAAATCCCTAGCACAAACAAAAGAAAAGTCAACACCCATACTTTTCTCTGTGTATGTAACCATTACTGCTCTTACGGTTGTTTTTATCCCATTAATAGAAAGATTTCATGAGTGTAGAGCTCACGGATGGGCACTTAAAAGTCAGCTATGATCTGGGTTCAGGAATGGCTTCCATTGTCAGCAGTCAAAACCACAACGATGGGAAATGGAAAGCATTCACCCTGTCAAGGATCCAGAAACAAGGTGAGTTTTTACAGTAGTCCTGCAATATGAATCTTGATCATGCTATCAGAAGCTAATCGTGAGGAAGACCCTGTCTGTAATTTAAGATACTCACACGTTCTCTGAAAAATTGAGTGATTTCTTTTGCTTAGATTATAGGTGGTGTAGATTAGACATGACTGCTTAAAGAGCCAAATGGCTCTCTATCATTTCTTGCGAAACTTAGAGTTAATTTGAAAGACCATAACATGGTCTTACTACTTGTAAAATTGTATCCTGTAGTAGATTTGAAAAATGTTGCAAGTATGTGTGCTTTTCCCTATTTTCCAATATATTTCCTGTAGAATCGCCCAGAAGTAGAATTTGTAAGGCTATAGGGGTCTCCTGTGTTTCACTGTTGAAAGTTGCCAAAAGAGCACATGCATGCAAGTAACTGATTAATAATAATTTGACATTTGCTGGGTATGGGCATTTTCAAAACACTTCCACATAGGCTATCTCATTTTATCATCTAATTAGAATCTTTGCGCTGATGTTATCAGAAGGGAAATATAGACAGAAGCTTATTTGCGGTCAATGACAAATACAAACATCTTAGAACCAAGATAAAACCCGTGTATTAGATCCTCCTGTGGTGTCATTACTATTTACTTCTGATCCCGCTAATTCGGTGGAGGATGGCATATCTGCAGATATTTGCGGATGACCTTTTTATGTTTCTGCTACTATAAATAGGACTAATGAATGTTAGCCTTGCTCATTTGAATTTTCATGAAAAGCTTGATTTGATTGTGTGCTACCTTTCATTCCTACATTTAACAAATATTTGCTAAGCACTTACTAAGAACTGTGGAACAGCCAGGTAAAGTCTCAGGAAGGTCATTGCCTGCAGGGAATGGCTGCCTAAAGGAGAAGAGAGACAAGCAAATGAATGGCTGACAGTAGAGAGCTGATTGTCTTAGCAGAGCTGTGCATGGCAGGCTGTCGATTTCAAACGGGAGAAGCATCTGGGTCAGACAAAGGTTGGTCCCCAGGGGAGCACCACTGAGGCACGGTCACGGTTGATAGTCTAGTTGGATGAAAAGCACACACTCGGATTATTCCAAGCAGTGGAAAATCATAAAGATATCAGTACGAAATTATTCTCCAACTGCTTTTCCTTGGAAGGTGAGCCTGAGGAGAAAGTCCTCAGTGGAGACAACACGTGGTTACATTTCTATAAATCAGATGAACACTGCCACATAATGTATCCACTTACAAGGAAAGCACAAAAAACGCACACCTCTGTATGAGAGAATCTGCATAATCACTCAGTAAAAAAGAATCTGCTTAACTCTTTGACCAGCATCCCCCAAAGTTCTGGGCTTACAGCAGTGGTTCTCAACCTGTGGGTTGCGACCCCTTTTTGGGTCAAATGACCCTTTTCACAGGGGTCTCCTGATTCATAACAGTAGCAAAATGACAGTTATAAATTAGCAACAAAAATAATTTTATGGGTTGGGGTCACAACATGAGGAACTGTATTAAAGGGTCGAAGCATTAGGAAGGTTGAGAACCACTGGTTTAGGAGCTTGAATGAGGATCACAGGGCCAACAAGTAGAATAGGCATAGAGGTTGGAAGCTAAAAAAAATGGATTGGAATGTGCTTTCTTTGAAATGCTAAAGGGAAAAATGGTATCTCCTTGATTTCATATGGAAATTCAAATGAAAGTCAGGCCCAGGCATACCAATCTTTTAGTCATCCTAAGTAAATGAAAGCTGGAATTTATTCATACAGCTAGAACTTGCAAGGTGAATGGAGAGATATTAGGGAGCATCAGCATTTCAGAGGTGTTCAAAGAAATAGCTTCCAAGAAAGAAGACTAAAAATGAGGTTGGAGAGTTTAAGAGAAGTTGAAGTATATGATGAGATGACATCCAAAAAATGAAATTTCCTCAAAGGAGGAAGATGAGAACAGCATCAGACACTGCATGAAAACCTGACGGCTCAGCCAAATGTTCTCCATTGAGTCTGAAGTTGCTGAAGACTTCTATTAGGACGGAGACAGAGGAATAAATAGAAATCCAAATAAGACTCCTGCAAGGTGGACCATTGATTCTTTCCAGTGACTCAACTGGGTGTTTTAGGTGAATTGTTCTCTACTAGTTGCTACAAGTATTATCCCTTAGAACCCTAGCCCATTCTTCAGGGGACATTTCCCATCTTCCTTGCGATGGCAGTGTGGTGTATCCCACAGGGTGGAGATGGGAAGACAAGGTTCGGAATGACTGTTTAGATTTGTAATGAACTTAGAGTGGGAAGAAAAACAAATATGTACTCAACTAAAAACAACTTTCTTATAACAAGTCAGCATTAAGTATAAAATGCTTATTAAGCCTCTATGCTGTGCTTAGGATTTTAAAAAATCCCTGTTACTCTACACATGCCTAAATGATGTCCATCCTAATCGACCCTGAAATTTTCAAATTTCTCTGTATAATAGGAAAAGAAATAGAGCAAGAAATAAGAGTAAGTGTTAGCAGAATCTACTTCATTGCTATTACTCATGAAGGGTAAATTCCTTCTTTTAACTCAGCAAAACTATGCCTTTCAACATACCTCTGCCAGAGCTAACTCTTGGGCCAGTAAGTTTCCATTCAATTGTGTTGCCACTCTTTAATCAGCTTTTCTTAGAATGATTTCTAAAAATGTGTATATTCACTCAGGGATACGGAGGAAAGTAACCTCCGGTCACTGGCTTCCCTGTGATAGAGAGGCAGAATCTCATTTTCACAGGCGCCATTGAAAGACCATCCGGGCTGCTAGAAGAGGCGATTTCACGTCCCGGTCAACAGGCCATATGAAAAACTCTTCCCTGAACTGGATCAAAAGGAATTTGTATGAAAAAGTCATGAAGGCAGTTTTAGAAATATCTTTTCTCATAGGCAGTCTAAGTTAAAGATAAAATATTTTAATATGAATAATTAATTCTTTCCATTGTAAACTTGCTAAATATTTTCCTGGATCACATTCCTGGCAGTTGCTTTTTGTTGTGTTTTTGAAAAGTCACCTTTGAAGAGCTCAGATGGTAATAGGTGCAGATATTTCTATTTTTAAAGCTAGGTAACTACTGCGTGGTTTCACTGAAAATACTTGCTTTGGGAATGGAGGGGCTACAGATCACAATGAAATTCGAGTGTTTGTTTTTCCTGTGCATTTTCCAAAGCACACTAGGCCTAAATGATTAAAGTGAGAGAAACTAATAATGCCTGATTGTCAAATATATTTGGGGGATACTTTATGCTTCATGTCTCTCTCCCTAAGCATTTTCTTAAAATTATTTTATCGGGGGCTCATAAAACTCTTATCACAATCCATACATCCATCTATTGTGTCAAGCACATTTGTACATTCGTTGCCATCATTATTCTCAAAACATTTTCTTTCCACTTGAGCCCTTGGTATCAGCTCCTCATTTTTTTCCCTTCCTCCCTCATGAACCCTTGATAATTTGTTTTGTTTTTTTTTCATGTCTTGCATTCACCAATGTCTCCCTTCACCCACTTTTCTGTTATCTGACTCCCTGGGAGGGGGTTATATGTAGATCATTGAAATAGGTTCCCACTTTCGCCTCCCACCTTCCCCTTGAATACAGAAGTGTTAAATTCTCTGGGAAACCCTAAAATGGAGCTACCTTGAACTTTGCTTAAACCGGTGTTTGTCAACTATAGTTGACCTATGACTGTCCGAAAACCTAGTTTTTTAAGGAAAGAAATAATCAACAACAAAAATACAATTAGAAATGCTCTTATCATTGATCGGCTCAAATGCCTATGTGAAAATGGATAGATCCTCTATGAGATCATGCAGACCATATATCAGACAAGGACTTAGAAGCAAAATCTGTCGTTGTAGGGAGCTGGTATAGCTCAGGATGCATCAAGGATCTAAACTATGAAACGGTGCAGGAGTGGGCCCGAGCAGATAGTTTAGTGAGAAAGTACAGAATGTAGAAGCAAACCTAGCTTGGCCCTTCAGATTAAGACTCCTCCCCCCAAAAAGTCCGTGAGATGTGTTCCCCATCTGCTTTCTATACCAAGTGCTTCTCTTCTTTGCCTTTTTCTTTCTGTTTCCGAATGTTTATCCTCATAGTATCAGAAATGCCTAAGAGTGGTGCTCTAAGGAGAGAGGGTGGTGCCTTTCACAACACTCGGCATCCCCAGAGATGCAGCGTGGGTTGTGGCTCTCATTCTCTTGCAGTTTCTCATCTCTCCACTTATGAGCCATCATCTCATACGGGGTTTAATACTTTGCACAAGAGCGTAAATCCCAGTAATTCTGTGGATGCTGATATTTACAGGGAAAGCCACAGACTCAGTATAGTTTTAGTCAATTATATAATTTCTGATTATATAGCTATTGAATATATAATTCATTATCTCATATGTAATTATCTCTTTTTGTAATTATTTCTAATACCTTATATGTGTTGTGGGCAAATTGATCAAACTGAACTTTCAAGTCCATTTAAACAACTATCTTTTCTCCTCCAGGGTGTTGCCTTGAGAAGTGAGGAGTTTCCTTGCTCTCTCATTGTGGATGCTTTCAGCATTGATGTTATTGTTTCTCCGGTTTATTACAAGACTACATATAATACCAATGTCTGAGGAAGTCAATGATAATTTGAGAAATAAGCTCAATTCATCTTGAAATTATCATGGTGACCTATATATGTGATTGGTATTTCTCAAATAAATTATTAACCTTTATATCTCTTCTGTAGCCAATATATCAATTATAGATATAGATACGAACCAGGAAGAGAACATGGCAGCTTCGTCACCTGGCAACAACTTTGGTCTTGACTTGAAAGCAGATGAGAAAATATATTTTGGCGGCCTGCCAACTCTGAGGAACTTGAGGTAACTTAGTTTATATTTAGAGTTGAGGATTATTTTAATTAAATGGCACTCTACTCTGCAGAGTGTTTAATTGTGATAGGAATGTCACATAACCTTTGGCTGCAGAAAGACCAAAAAACAGTGTATTGCTTGTTAGAGCAACACTAGGTTTTAGAAAACAAAGGTTTAATCTGACACCGTTGAAGAAGAGATTAATTGGAATTACTGCCTCCCTTATATTCCTCGAATGAAAAGTATTGTTAGAGTGATTTGAGCTGGCAGCCAGAGTCGGGCTCTCTTTGTGCACTCGCTGGCAATCACGGTGTACTGGCATTCTGGAACACCCTGAAACGCAGTCTGTCTTCCGGGACACTGTGAGTACAACCTAGCTTATTGCTGAGCATTTAGTGTCATTATGAATTATTGGAGCTCTCCTAGTACTCGAGCTATATTAGTTATTTTCATGCCCATGCTGATCATTTAATTTTTTTTACCTATCTTGTACCTAGCAGGATGATAGGAGGACATTTTCAATTTGTTGTTTCATTAATTCAAAGATCAATAAAGAAATATGTATATAAGTTACAAAACAATTTCAGAATTAATGGCACGTTACTTAATGTCCTGCTTATTATACAACAAAAGACATAAAAATCTATAAACTACTGGATGTTCAATAAATGATTATTGACTTTAATTATATTGAAATGAACTGATTGGGATGAAATATAGACTACTTAAAAGGCAGACGACAAGGTTTAATTTTTTTGTATTTGATTATTTGGTGTTTAATGAGGAGAATAGGCCTGCCTCCGTGTTTCTCCTCTAAGAACTCACCTTCCATTTGGAGGGATTTCTGATTGGCTGAGGAATATGTGATCAATTATTTTCAAACTTCCCATAGCAAACGGTGGAATTTCAGTCTCATTTTATAAGCCATAACATGCAGATGGAGACATGTTCTTTTATGCAGAGCTTGCAGCTGTCTAATTACCAATCTTTCAAGTACATAAGTTGATACATGTCATGATACAGATAAACTGGAGGATGTCTTTCTGCATGCATCTTGGGGTGGGAATGCAGCTCTAACCAAAAAGTGGATGAAGGGAGACGTCGGACAGGGCAAGATATGACAAAATACCCATTTATAAACTATCAAGGGCTCATGCGGGAGGGGGGAGCGGGGAGGGAGGGGAAAAATGAGGACCTAATGTCGGGGGTTTCAACGGAGAGAAAATGTTTTGAGAAACGATGTACAAATGCGCTTTACACAATTGATGTGTGTATGGATTGGGATAACAGTTGTATGAGTCCCTAATAAAATGTTAAAAAAGAAAAAAAAATAAAAGTTAATGGCTACCTTAAAAAAAAAAAAAAGAAATTCCAATCGCACGTATTGGAATTCTGACCATGTTCTTCCTTGAAAATTCCATTATTCAGCATTCACTCAGCAAATGCTCCTTGAGCATCTATTATGTGCCAGGCACTATTCTAAATGCGACAAATCCAGTAGTTGTTTTAAGTCTAAAAGGTATTTTTCAGTTTTGATATTCTACTATGAGTAAATGATAGCCAAAATAAGGCTATCTAAACTTAAGTTCACTTCAACTAGTGCTGACGTGGTTGTAATTATCACAAAGTAAATTCTGAAGGGATTATCCGCAAAGGAGTTCGTGTTAATAGAGATGCGTGTATGTTTTAGTTGGGGAGCAAAACATATTCCCCATGTGCCTTTGCTTCATCAGCACTTAGACGTGTTTGCTGTCACAGTGCATTTCATGGTGAGAAGGCCACTTCGGTGGGCCACGTGACTTTACAACAACCTGTAGATGTACATGTGACTGATCCGCGACCCAAACCCTCCGTTACTTTCTGCTCTGCCTGCAGAGAGAACATGACTGTGATATGATGCAAAAGATGTAGTAGGAAAACATAAATTATTTTTACAGGTTTAGGTGGAGTTAAGCTCTGAGAGAGACCATATTTAGAAACTGCTCATGAAACTACAGAAGATAGACAAGCATGTTCCCCTTCATCCTAAGGATAAATATCAAACCTGACATTCATACTTCAAAGTGAATTTGTCCAAGAGAATTGAAGGAAATAGCATTTTCGATTCTGTTGCCACTCCCTGGAGTCAAGGGCATACGCCTCATCTCTGTTCCGTTGGGGTTTGGGGGATGACAATGGTTTCCTTGGTGGGTCCCTGTGAGATGCTTTATTTAGAGAGTCATGATCAATATGTATTGTTTTACTCAATGAACATGCAATCATAAGTAAATTGTTTGTTGTTTTTTTCTCTCTTCCCTGTGACGTAGTATGAAAGCAAGGTAAACTTTCAATTTATGCATGCCTTTTAGTCTGCATGGATTGGGGAAACGTGGCTTTCACATAAAAGCAGAAGGGCTGAAGCAGCTTGATCCATAGTCCATTTCATAAGCAAGCCTTGCACCCTGAGGTGTTTCTCAGGCTGCCCTTCACCACCAAAGATGCTGCTGCTTATCCACCATCAATTGCACGTGCAGTTGGAGTTGTTTCATCCGCAGCAATGATGGATCTGCCCTGCTTACTTGTTCAGATGCTCACACCCTGATGCCCAGCATCACACACAAGCGACAGCACATGGCCAGGTTGATGGGCACAGCCACCGCTCTGAGGAACAGAGCAGCGTCCTCTCTAGACTGGTTCTGTGGCTCTGGCCTCCCTCGTACTACGCTGCCTGCTAGACAACCAGCCGGTGCTCTCAAATGCTTATCACTGCATTGCTGCTTTCTGCAAGGCTGCAAATATGCACATGTTTACACAGCCTGCTCACCTCATGGCCGAGCTGCTCCATGAGTCTCGCATTCATTTCAAAACAGGGCTTAGAACCAGAAGAACAGAATCTCTGGAGAGACTGTAGTTAAACATGGGTTTGCATCCTGAGCAGAGACCCTCGGGAGTCTGTCGTTACATTATGAATCTGATCACACGTGATTCCTAGCTCCTCTGTGGTTTTCATAACACTAGACCCACAAAACTATGATATTTGGAGTGGATTTTTGTGCTTCCATCCCATACCAAACTGGATGACTGGTTGGAGTTATGTACTTCATCCACATCACTCTGAAAGAACAAAGGTCACATGAGTCTATCCTTTTGACTTATAGGAGAAAGACATGAGCAAGATACGCCCCTTCCACTTAGACATGTTTTCATTAGTAGAAGAGGGGACAGGGGGCTGAGAAGAGAGAGCAACCTTGGGAACTGGAGAAAATGGTCAAAGAAAAAGGAAACCGAGCAAATATCTGGCACGAGAGAAATCACCTGGCACATGCAGTCAGGATCTCATGTGCTTGCAATCTGTCTCCCCTGGGGCCATGCATTTTTATTAACATCCAAAAACAAATGGATCTTGGAATCCTGGACAATGAAAAGAGAATAAGTCCCTACCTAAAAGTATAATATTTGTGTGCGATCGGCCAGTTTTTATAGAACCTGATAACATCACAGAAAGAATACATTACTTTATGTAGCCTCATGGACTGGCGTTGTTCAAGGTAATGTTTGCTAGCCACAGGGGAAATTTAATTTTAAGTTAATTAAAATTAATGAAGAATAAGTTCTTCATTGGCATGAGCCTCAGCTGTGTGGGACTACTTAGCTACCAATGTGAACAGAGCAGAACATTTTTTTTCATTCCACCATCACGAGTGCTTTGGGACAGTGCTTCTGGACATTAAAAATATCATCATCTCTAATAGCCTGCTAACTCGTGTTTGGTGAGCACCTTCCACCTGCTAAGGTTTTGCTAAAGTGCATGCATTTGTTTTATTCAAACTTTGCAGCTCGAGAATGCAGGCACTGCTATGACGATGTCCATTTCTTTACAAAACCCAAAGCAAACTCCCTGCCATCATGTTGATGCCAACTCAGAGCTCCCCTATAAGACAGGCTGGAACTGCCTGGGGCCTTTCTGAGGAGCCTGTTACTGTTCACAGGAGTGGAAGCCCGACTTTCTGCCTTGGATCACCTGGCAGTTTTGAACTGCTGACTTTGCTGTTAGCAGCTCAATATGTCACCAGGGCAGAGGAATCCCACTTGCAGAATGTCCCCACAGCCAGGGCCACATGCTGTACTGAAGTGCAAGGACTTGATGGAACGTTTGCCCCATTAAAGGAAGTAGTGAGCAAGAAGTAACCGATCAAGAGTGATTTGGGTACAACGACACTTCCAACCCAAACCCAGAGCCATCGAGTTGAATCCCGCTTATAGTAACCCCATGTGGTCCAAAGGAGGATGACTCCTTCGGGCTTTCCCTGCTGTAATCATTTTGTGAAACAGATTAACAAGTCTTTCTTATGTGGGGGGCATTGGGTGGATTTAAACTGTCAACCATTATGTTACTTGTTTAATACAAACAATTTGAGCCACCGGGGGACCTTAATTTGGGTATAGAAACCATTTTTTAAACCCTACGGGGAAAATTAAATACATCTTCTCTATCTTTCAGTTGCTCTTTGTTGCTATTGGTCTTGTATGTAAAATGTGGACTTTGGAGTCCGTTTATAACATCCACTGTTGTTGAGTCAATTCCAACACACAGGGAGGAACTAAGTAGAAAAAGAGTTTCCATGCTTCTTTCTCATTTCATGTTATTGTGCGTAGCAAATAAGTTTTCCCCATCAGCAGTCCATACACAAAGCTACCCTTGACATCATAGCAATCCGTGCAATATGACTACACTCTCCTCATTTCCTCTCTGGTTCCCATGCCCTTTCTTTTGTCGCCCTCTGTTTTCTCGACTTTGGTTTGGGGCAACCATGGTTGCCCTGTTGGTCCTGTTTCACTGATTGTTTGGAGGAACATGGCTTTCATGTTGTTTGTTTATATTTCCCTTGATCGGCAGTGCAGTGGATTCATTGGTTCCTCTGCTCTTTTTCTGACCCCAGATGTCTGGATTTTAGTGTGGGGGAGGACCTGGATTTTGCTATACATCTCTTAGTCCATTCTAACTGGGACCTTCTCTTGTGATCTTGTTGGAAAGGTCTGTAGAGGTAACTAGGGGAGGCCAGGCACCATCTAGTTCTTCTTGTCTCAGGTTCAATGACCTTATAGTTCATGTGGGCCTTTAGTCCTTTGGGCTACTTGCTTCCCCAAAGCTGTAAATATCTGTGACTTGTAGGTTTGAATAACTGACCATCTAGTTATCAGGTTAGGGCTTTAACTACCATTCCACCAGGATTCCTTTCAAACTATAAACTCAACTTTGAAACTTCTTTTTTTTTTTATGATGATGATGTAATCCAAATATATGTTTGTGTTTTTAAATGAGGTAATCCAAATGCATGTATGATTGTAACTTTCTTATGGATAAAAATGTTAAAGAAAAAGAGAGTGATCTCTTAAGCTTGAGCAACTGTTGTTGTTGAGTATCCTAGAGTTGGTCTGGCTCATGATGCCCCTGTACAATGGATGGTAATGCTGCCTGGGCCCCTGCCTTCCTCACAACCAGTACTGGCAACCCCTGTGTCAATCCATCTAATGGAGGGTCTTCCTCTTTTATCATGACTTTATATTCTGGACCTAGCACGAGTAGCTTCTCTAACTACTTGGTCCTCCTGATAATATGTCCGAAGTCTGTACATGAAACGCAGTCTCCTGTTCTCCCTTCTAAAGAACGTGCAGGCAGTCCTTCCTCCAAGACGGATGTATTCACCCTCTGGCAGCCCATTGGCTCTTCACTATTCTTTGCCATCATCCTTCAAATACATTACCTCTTCTTCAGGCTCCTATAATCCATTGTCTGACTTTTCCACATGTGGGGGGGGGGTATTGAAAATATCATGGCTTAGCTCAAACACACGCTAAGTCCTTAAACCGACCTCTATGCCATTTAGCAATTTATTTTCAAAATCATACACCAGATTTCAGATTGATTTGCCCAATGCAATACAAAATTAGATCTCTTGGCTGCTGTTTCCATGGGTATTGATTGTGAATCCAAATAAAATGAAATCCTAGACAAAAACCACCCCCCACCCCCACCCCAGTTATCATGGTGCTGCTTCTTGGTCAAGTGGTGAAGGTTTTTGTTTTATGTTAAGGTGTAATTTATACTGACTCCCCCAAACCCACTCACCCCACACACATACCCCCCAAAATCTTTAATGACATAAATATTATCTAGAATTCTATTAAAGGTATTTGAAAAAGTTACTTTTATCCTTATTTTACTTTTCTGTATGTAATTTTATCATGTTGTTTGCACAATACCTACTTCTAAATGGGAAAACCACTAATTTCATTACATATAAAGCACTTAATAAAATCAAACAAACCCACATCCACTGCCATGAGTTGATTCTGAGTCATAGTGAGCCCAGAGAACCCAGTAGACCTGCCTCCTAGAATTCCCATGACTGTCTCTCTTCATGGAAGTAGACTGACATCTGTCTTCCATGGAGCGGCGAGGTTTGAACCACCAACATTCTGGTTAGCAGTTGAGGACTTTCACCGATGTATGACCAAGCTCTCCTCATGGCTTACTACCCATCAGTAATCCCTGGTCCTGTGTTTAAATTCCAAGAATGAAAGTACTAAACAAGAAAGAAAGAAAGGTAGTGGGGTTGGGAAAGAAGGAAGGGAGAACAGAACTCTATAAAGACTTCTGTAAGATGATAGTGACCTGTCTTGGTTCAACCAGCAGGCAAAGGGATGGACAGTTCACTCGACCCCTGTGTGTGCTTGTGCACACATTGAAATACTTGCCTACTAATGTGTCTCTTTGTGCCTGTGGCTTGCTTCTGATAGTTACATGAATGACACTGCCGTTGCCCAAAATACACTGCTTTTTGTTTTCCATTTAACTTCCAACAGGCCAGAAGTAAATCTGAAGAAATACTCCGGCTGCCTCCGCGATATTGAGATTTCAAGAACACCATATAATATCCTCAGCAGCCCTGATTATGTTGGTGTCACCAAAGGGTGCTTCTTGGAGGTTGGTCTGGTTTGAATGGTTTCCTGAACGTCTTCTCCTCAGATTTCTCCTAGGTCATTGTGGTGCTTTTGCACGGACCACTGCCATGTCCCCGGGCTTTAAAATCCTACTGTTATTCATCTTAACTCTTCACACATTATAAAGCAAGATGGAAGTACATGCCCATGATCAATTGACTCGAATGGTATCATGAAAACCCCAAATCGGAATGCAACTACTCCCCTGAATGGAGCACTGTGATACCCATGTTTAATATCATCTCTTTTCTGTTTCTATCTAGTCCCAATATTATTTTCCCCTTGCCCATATTTTTATCATCTATTTTAAATTCATATTATCCAAATTGATTGTTACCAAAATAGTCTTGCTGCCATTGAGTAGATTCCAACACTTTTTAAGAGTGAGTAGAACTGCCCCTTTGGTTTTCCAAGACTGCAAATCTTGATAGAAGCAGAAAATTTCATCTTTCTCCTCAGGAGTAGCTAGTGGATTCAAACTGCTAACCTTGTGGTTAGCACAGTAGTAAGTAGTAGTTTCCACTAAAATCTTTAGTGAACAACATCTTGTTTAAAGCTTGGTAGTCAAACGCCCTTTACTTTGAACTCCCTGTTCTTTGGCAAAGACTAGGAACTGTGGCACCAACATGCTAAAGAATTGTCTTTGACAAGACTGCTTGGATTTTTTAAATCATCATGAGGTTACGTTTGAGCTGCAATCCCAGGGATGCTCGTGTCTCCTCCTCTCTGTGGTCCCAGCCCACCAGCAGCCCCCAGCTGTACGTGACTGTTCCATACTAACTTTTTCAGAGGGGTTGGAGAGAGAAACTCAGGTCAGAGCTCTTCGCTCTTAAAATATCTACAACCCAGAAACTACTGACATCAGCAAATGTTAGTAAGAATGTTATGGGCTCTCAAAACGGACACTTTTTATAAAAAAGGAAAATGTCAAATATACTGGTGGATTTTAATTATGCTGAGAATATACAACTGTTCATTCTGATTGTTTCCTCCAATTAAGATGATTTTAAAGCACTCCTATAGAATCTACATCCCTGGGTAGTGAAAATGGTTAACAAGCTTGGCTACTAGGCCAAGGGTGGCACTCCCACTCCACCCAAAGTAACCTCAGAAGAAAAGCCTGTCGATCTACTTCCCAAAAAGTCCCACCCACTGCCATCAAGTCAATCCCAACCCATAGCAACCGGATATGAGGTTACCAAGGCTATATATTTATGGGAGCAGAAAGCCTCATCTTTTTCACAAGGAACAGCTAATGGGCTTGAACAGCCAACCTCGTGGTTAGCACTCCAACACTTACTCCACACAAAAAATCAGTCTCTGAAAATCCTATTAGGACAGTTCTGCACTGCCACATATGAGGTTGCCAGGGGTCAGAGTTGGCTTAATGTCCTGGGCTTATGGGACTTAAGGCAATGCAGGGAGAATGGAGGGAAAAGTTTTTTAAAAAATTCATTGTATGACTACAGGGATTGAAGACTGGAACAGAACTACTGGGCACACTTTGTTTGTAGCTGCATGTTCCATTTGAAAAAAGGAAATATACAATGAATTAAAGTTCTAAGGATTGATGCTAACTTCTTAAAGAACATTTCACTCCGAGTTTTAATCTTCCAAGCCTTCACTCTTATCCACATTCAAAAGTAATGCATGAGGGTAAGACCTGTCCAGAAAATGAATAGCCTGTATGTGTGGAAATGATTCTGTAAAGGCTCTTTGCAGTAACCAGGAATTATTTTGTTACTGAAATACGAGGCTGAAATTTTATGTGAATAAATATTAAAAACCCTGCATGGTCATTTTATCTAAAATAACCAAAACTGCATGGTTTGGAAATTGGAATCGAATATAGATGAAACATTTGCCCACGCTGGTGCCACTTAACTGGCCTGAAACACTTGGATGAGGAGGGCCACTTTAAAGGGGTTCCTGTTTTTATACCAGCAAAATCCAGTGTTTTAAAAATGAATTTTTAAGCGCTCACTGCCTAACTATATGAGGCTGCTTAAATAAATGAGAACAGATTCTGACAATAAAATACCTCCCATCTATCCAAAGTGATCATGGGACCTGTGCTTTGGTGTCAGAATAATCGTTGCTCTACCAACTTCCTATTCTTTCAGGTCTGAAATGTTATTTTTAAAAATTCTTTCATCTGGCGAAAGAAATGGTACTATTTTAACTTTTGCGACAAGTCTGGACTATTAAATATTTGGTTTATTTGTGTTAAGATTCAGGTTTTGTGTGATTATTTTATAGTGGATAGAATGTTTTTGTATATTTGATAGTGCTGACTGTCTTCACATTGGCTTCATCCCTGAGGAGTGTTGACAGAGAAAGCAGCCCTGCTTTCCCAGAAAAGAGAAACCATTAGTATATAGCGTTTATGCACAGGGTGAGAGTGCTTTCTAGAAAGATGTAGCAAGGTGAGTTTAAATCAAAAGAAAATGTAATTCAATAATAACTACCTCTCTTTTAAGTCAAAAGTTCTAGATTAAAATCATGCGCCATTAGGAGGAGTCGATGTAACAAGTAGGTATGAACAAATCAACCCAAACCCATTACCTTCCCACCAATCCTGACTCATAGAACAGCATAGGGCCTGCCAGAAGGTTGCTAAGGCCATAAATCATCTGGTGACAGGTGCATATGGTATTTTTTAAACTGGTCTTTAACTCTCTGTGTTAATGTGGGTTTTCAACCGTTCTAAAATAAAAGGGAATTTCATAACAAGAGTGAGAGATAGAGACATTATTTTAAATGTTTTAAATTTAAATTAAAAATGAGGCAGAAAGCATCAGAAGAAGATGGAATGAACACAGACCTTATTTTAAATTTCATAACAAGAGTGAGAGATACAGTATTTTAAATTTTCATTTCTAATGTATTTTCCCATTTTTCCTTTTTGCCACAGAATGTTCACATAGTAAACTTCCCAAAGCCTGGGTTTGTGGAGTTGGCCCCTATGCCACTTCATGTAGGAACAGAAATCAACCTGTCCTTCAGTACCAAGAACGAGTCTGGGATCATTCTCCTGGGAAGTGGAGGGCCGTCAGCATCACCGAGAAGAAAACGAAGGCAGACTGGACAGGTACTGTCATTACTAGATGTGAAGACATCCCTCTAATATTTCTATAAGACCATTGTTCTGCAAAGAACTGGGAAGGTTTTATAAATTGCTTGTATGTTTTTATATTTGTGTCGTTTACTTCTATGATCATGTCAGCCAGCTAGTGGAGTCTGGAGCCTATGTCACTGGTACTTAACACCAGCAAGTCCACCCATGGTGACCAGGGTTCAGCGGAGCGTCCAGACTGAGAACAGATTACAGGGAAGGAATAGGATGTTCACTTCAGAGGGATTAGCGCCGATGAATTATTGTCACATAGAGTGCCAGGACAGCACTGGGGGAGACCTGCCTCCCCAGAGCAAAGTCTCAAGATCGTCGTTTGTGAAGGGACAAGACCCAACCTGAGAAGAAGCAACTGTACGTATCCATTCACAATGGGAACATGGAATGCAAGTCTAGGAATATTGGAAATTGTAGAAAATGAAATGGAATACACAGGAATCCGAACCTCAGGTAAGAAACGGGCTAGAACTGGATGTGGCTCATTTGGAAGCGGACACACATATGACTTATGCCAAGAAGGAGAGATTGAAGAGAAATGGTGACACATTTCTTGTCAAAAATAATATTTCAAAATCTGTCAAGAAAAAAATCATGCCTCAAATTAAACTTTTGAAAGGTTTTATAGGCAAAAGAGAGAATGAGGCAGAAAGCATCAAAAGAAGATGGAATGAACACAGAGTCCCTATACCACAAAGAATTGGTTGGCATTGAAATATTTCAAGAGGTAGCATATAATCAAGAACTGATGGTGTCAAAAGAAAAAGTCCAAGCTACACTAAAGACATAAGTAAAAAATAAGGCTTTCTCTGGGGGGGGGGGGCTCCAGGAACTAATGGAAGATCAATTGAGATGTTCTGATAAGTGATGCAATTCTGGAAGCACTCACTGGTCTATGCCAATAAATTTGGAAGACAGATACCTGGCCAGCCTACTGAAAGATAGCCATGTATGCGCATAGTCCAAGGAAAGGTGAGCCACCAGAATTCAGAAATTACAGAGCAGTATTATTAAATTCGCACGCAAGTCAAATGTTGCTTGTACAAACCCCCCCCACCCCCAGTTGAGGGACAAACAACAGGAACATGGGTGAAGGGACACAGCAGATGGTGTAAAATACGAAAATAAAAGTTTATAAATTATCAAGGGTTCATGAGGGAAGGGAGCGGGGGAAAGGGAGGGGGGGGAAAGCTGAAACCAAGGGCCCAAGTAAAAAGAAAATGTTTAGAAATGATGATGGCAACATATGTTCAAATGTGCTTGACACAATGGATGTGTGGAGTGCTGTAAGAGCCCCCAATGAAATGATTTATTTTTTAAAAAGAAATAAAAGAAAAGAGAAAAATAAATAAACAGAAAACATATCTCTCAATCCCACTCCCGATGCCATAAAACAGTCTAAATACTGCGGTCCAACTTTTAAAGGTAGGAACCTTCGGTTGTTAGGGCAAATCATGACCCTAAGATCGTGTTGAAAGCTTTGAGGGAGCTTCCCAGATCTGGGTGCTGTTGTTCTTTCCCGTCTTTGTGTCCCTCCGTACCTTCAGTTAGGTTTTCACCTTTTAATTGGCCCCTTAAACCACTTTGCTCCGTTAAAAAGGTCATGCCAATCATCTCGCCTGCCAGGACCAGATTAGAATGCATTACAAAATAGACCCTTAAATTGTAACACATCCTTGTAAGCTGGCCTCGATTACCTGATTTTATGTGTTTTAAATCAATTCCAGGACTTAATATTTAACAAAATATAGCATTATGTAAAACATCTTAGTCATATCCCTAAAAAAAAAATCTAACAAAATATTTGCAAATAGAATCCAAAGGTGTATAAAATATTTTTAATACACCGTGATTAAATTGAATTATCTCAGTAATGCACAAGTGATTTAACCCCAGAATATATGTATCTATATATCCATCTAATAGAAGAAGAAAATATTTAATAGCATTTAACACCCATTCATGTCTAAAGGAAATAAAACAGAAAACCAATGCTTAGTAAGTAGGAAAAAGAGGGAGCTAGTACCTTAATTATCTGTAAAATGGCTGTAACAAATACACCTGATAGAAAAACATTGGAAGTCAATTTTCAGTGTATTTATATGCATATATAAATACATATGTAAACATTTATGTATGTATATATATATATACATTGTAAAATACTGGAACTAAATTTTCAGTGTGTATATGAATATATATGGTAAGACATATATATTTTGTTATATATATATTATATATACCATAACCACAGGAAGATATCATCCATAGCAGCTACTATACTATAGCCCAAAGTAAATTGGAAATGGCATTTTTAATATTGTAACATGTCAATAAGGAAGGTCTCCTTTGCAAGCTGTCATAGTAACTGCAGTCTGAAAGTGCAGGCGATGTCAAATAGTTCAGATCTGTTCTAGAGCCAATATTGGTTAAATTGGCACCGTTTCTTTTTCTTTTCTTTTTTTAAGCATTTTATTAGGGGCTCATACAACTGTTATCGCAATCCATACACACATCAATTGTATAAAGCGCATTTGTACATCATTCTCAAAACATTTTCTCTCCACCTAAACCCCCGACATTAGGTCCTCATTTTCCCCCTCCCTCCCCGCTCCC